ACGAGAACAGTTCTACTTGCCACTGCACCAAGTCCACTAGCATGCATTTATTGTTTTCAAAATTTCGAAAATTTTTTCCTGAGATTTTTAATAAAAGATAAAAAAAAGTTGCTCAAAATTCTTTCTTTTTTCTAAGTTTTAAAATTTCAACAGCAGCACTTACCAACTTTGTATGGCGGCTTCGCAGACATCACGTTGAACTGCTGGAACTGCAAAAATTCCGAATTGAGAAATACTCCACAAACATTTAAGTGATGCGTACGAAACAGACGAGTAAGATTATGCGTTTTCGCACCAAGTTTTTTTTCGGGAGATGCCACAGTCGAAGCCTTAGCTCCAGTTTGCTGAGGAAAGCTTGAAATTTGGAACTGTCATCAGCTTATTCCCTACCCCCTTCAATCTTCTTGATAATGAGAGAGCAGATAGCAGAAATCACGCTAGCCTTGCTCCCCTTCCTCCTTCCCCGAAAAAAAAATATTCAATACTAGCAAGACAACAAGGGGCAATCCAAGTGACAAAATCGACAAGACGAAAGTTCGACGAATTTCAAGTTTTCGACGAAAGTCTCGTCGACTGGAAATTTGAAATTTTTGCTCAGGTTGTTTACTATTTCAAATTTAAAAAAATCTTTCAAAATTTATTTTAAAAAACTTGAAACTCCAAATTTTAAAAATTAGTCGCATAATGAGCTGAATTTAAGGCTCGCTATCGCATCTTACACTATCATCAAATCGTTGCTTTCGACAACTCGATGAAGAGGGGATTTTTTACGAATCCAGCATCAATCTAGGATCATCCAGTACCACTTTAATCTACCATTGAAATTAATCGTAGAGGGAATGGCTGATCCACCGGGTGTGGTGTGGAACTTCGAAACTTCGGAATGAGACGGAAGCCCTACTTGCCCTTGTTGCATTTTGCACACACATGCATAATAACCCGAATCTGAGGCTCACTATCGCATCTCAGAATCATGAAACTGTTGATAAAATCTCCGCTGATGAACCCTCCATATCAGCAACAAGAAATATGGCACACCTGTGTGCCGACAATTCTTTATGTACAGCAACCAGCCCCTTCGACCGATGGCCTCTTTTTCCGTGCTTTGTTCCCAGTCCCCCCTTCTCTTTTCCTCCTTCCCGTCTTCTCTATGAATGCAACTCACTGGTTTGAGAAAAATTTCAGTGTAGGGGGATATTTATTCAAATTAGAACTTAAAAAATTACTCCACACAAAACGAGATTAGCTTATTTAAATGAGATTAGCTTACTTAAATTAAGCTAATCTCACTAGCTTAGCTCCTTAGCAAATACCAGTACCAATTTACCATCGAAACGAATGAACGAATCGTAGAGAAACTGGATGTTCCAGTGGCGGAGTGGAACCAATTTTACCCCTAGCATGCGAATAACACCACTTACTATTGCATTACGCCATCACGCACAGTATTAAACCCAGCAAAATTCTATAACAAAATTCTCCAAAAAACAAAAGTAAATTATGACGACATGCGTTAACTCATAAACTGCCAGTATGAAGAACTTTTTATAGCAATAACAAAAAAGAACAGGAACAAATAAAGCAACAAAGGTATTATAAGCCGATTGATAATTAGCATAAATTCGGTTTCCCCTCCCAATAAAGAGAAAGGCATTAGAAAAGTTCAAATTAAATGGCCCTTTTTTGGGCCAAAATGCTCTCATTTGCGCTATTTTAGCTAAATAAGTAATAGTTAATGTAGGAAAACAAAGAAATTGAATATTATAATGGTATATTTTGCCCGGATCAGAAGTAGCTAGGCATAAAGAAACAGGGTGCTGGAGATCCAAATCTCAATATCAAGTTCAGACGCTCTTGTCACAGGACTGCTTGGTGAATAATTCTGACTTAATCTTCATCCGCTTCATCAGCTGCTTTTGGTGCTCGTGGAGCCGGACCTTTCGCTTGCTTCGACATGATTATCTGAAGAAAAAAGTAATTTGAATTGAAATTAAAAAAGAATTCATCCCTCAC